CGAGAGACGCTGGCGGCTCCGGGGGACTCATGGCCCGCGGTATGGCGCTCCACTCCTCTGGGGTTGCTGGGTGCTCCTAGAGGACGCAGGTCGAGGCGAGGTGCATCCCTGGTCGGCGGACGCAAGCAGAGAGCCACCGACCGAGCCGCCCTCTGCGCCTGTGAACTCCCCGCGCCGGACTTTCCGGAATCTGGTTTATTTCCCCAGTGGGCAGCAGCAGGCAGCGAGGGGCCCCTCCGAAGAGTTTTCCTTAGGGAAAACAGTTTACCGCTTAATTATTTTGAAGTCACTTGTGCATTGAGATTTTTCTTCCCCACGCAAATACGATAGCAATGATGCCTGGTGGGGCCCCTCCGAAGAGTTTTCCTTAGGGAAAACAGTTTACCGCTTAATTATTTTGAAGTCACTTGTGCATTGAGATTTTTCTTCCCCACGCAAATACGATAGCAAAATGATGCCTGGTAATTGCTACCTTCGCCTCCTCCATTCTCCACCCTCCAATAAACTATAAACAAAACCATTTCTTATTAATCCATAAAAACGTGCACTTTTTGCTGCGCTTTGAACTTACCGAGTTCTGGGAGAGGCAGCGGAGACTTAGCGTAGAGGGAGTGACTTCAGGCATGAGTGTCTCAGCCGATTTCCCTGTGAAAGAATGAGTCATCAATGGGACCGAAGGGGCCTCCTTCTCTGTGCCACTCCCAGCCTTCTCGCACTTTATTCCCCGGACACACACACACACACACACACACACGCACTCAAGCGTACGCGCGCTAGAAGGGCGCGTAACATGAAATATGTACCTTGTATTTTGATTCCACTGTTTAATCATGCAAATGTTAACAAATATTTCCATTTACACATTTAATCATCCAAAAATAGAAGCTAAACAGAAAAATCTACGTTTAAATAAAATAAAAATGAAACAAGTCAATATTTTAAACCAGACACTGTTTGCACACACTATTTTCATTCTATTTTTCATACTACTGAGTGCTATATTTTCACCTATTATTTCAGTTTTTGTAATTCTAATAACAATCTTAATTCTAATAAGTAGTACTACTAATAAAAATATGATATCCTAGTTTATTAACATAGCATAGTGTCTAGCAGTCCAGGGTTAGGCGTTTCGGTTTCCTTTATTATTTTAGGTATTACAAATTGGTTATAAACGTCTTTCAAAAGTTAAACTGGGGGCTTGGGATTTAGCTCAGTGATTCCGCCGCCTGCCTTGCAAGCACAAGGACCTGAGTTTTATCCCGAGTACCAAAAGACAAACAAACAAAAAACAAAAGTTAAACTGGGTTTGGGATGGGAATTTAGCTCAGTAGTGCCGCCACCTACTTCGCAAGTGCAAGGTCCTGAGTTTGATCCCCAGTACCAAAGAAAAATTTTTTGGTTTGTTTCCCCACCCCACCCCCATCCTCCAGCTGGGGACTTGACCCAGGGCGGTCAAGCATTCTAGGGAAGGGCTGTATCATCAAGCTACATTCCCAACCCCTTTTACTTGCAGATAAAATCTTGACAAATTGCTCAGGATGAACTCCTATTTGTGATCCTCCTGCTTCAGCCTCCTGAATAGCTGGGATTACAGGTACGGGCCACCATAATTGGCTAAACTAAAGGTTTTTTAAATTATTTACATTACAGCTGAAACATAATTCAAGTTGTATAACATTTAAGAATTGATGGGGGAAAATGGAAAAAAAAAGAATTGATGGGTTTTTTTTGTTTTTTGTTTTTTGGTACTGGGAATTGAACTCAGGACCTTCTGCTTGGCAGGCAGGTATAGCACTACTGAGCTAAATCCCCGGCCCAAAATAATATGCTCATTTTTTAATTGTTGTTATTTTTTGAGACAGTGTCTCACTATGTAGTGAGACTGACCTGGAACTCCCTATGTAGCCCAGGCTGGTTTTGAACTCACAGCGGTCCTCCTGCCTCAGCCTCCTGAGTGCTGGGATTACAGGCGTGCACCATCACACCCGGCTTAATAATATGTTCTTGAATCTTCAAATTTTTGTATTTAATCAAAGCTGTTTTTTAAACCTAAGCATATTTCAACATCTTTTTAAAAAACATTCTCAGTACTACATATGATCTTTTTTATTTCAAGAGTTCATATTGAGGGGCTGGAGATGTGTGTAGCACAGTAGCAGAGTACCTCCCCTACCACACACAATGCCCAGGATTCAGCCTGTCCCCAGCGCCCCCCCCCCGGAGAGTTTGCACCTCTGACTATTTGGGGGCTTGTTGTTATTGTTGTTGTTGTTTATTTGTTTGTTTGGGGGATTGAACTCAGGTCCTTGCGCTTTCAAGGCAGGTAGCAGAACCACTGAGCTAAATCCCTGACCTCTTTATTTGTTTGTTTTTTGAGACAGGGTCTCACCATGTAGTTCAGGCTGGCCTTTAACTCACTATATAGTTCAGGCTGGCAATCCCCCTGCTTCAGCCTCCTGAGTGCTGGGATTACAGGCATGTGACACCACACCTGGCTCTGACTGTATTTTCATACAATATATTTTTTGAAATATATTTTTCACTAAGTTTATTGGTACATTTTAAGTATACAATACAGTAACATTCATCATTGGGATCTTGTACCTTACATGATGTATCTTGATTCTTATTTTATCCCCAGTCCCCTGCCTTCCCTTTACCCCCTCCACCCTTCCCTACAAAGACTTTGTTTCCATTTTTTCCTTTTCTCATATTTTTTCTTTTTCCTTCTTTCCTTCCCCCATCCTTCCCACTTTCCCTACTCCTTCAGACCTTTTTTCCAATTTCACATGATCAATTATACAATTTGAACCTTATTTACACGTTTAGTTTTCACACCAGAGAAACTATTCAGTATTTACATGTGTGTATGTCCTATTTACCTGAAATATATTTTCTATTCCTGAACTCCCATTGGTATTGTATTTGAACAATTATAACTTGATTACTACTGTTAAAACCAAAGTACTTTAAAATTAGAAGAAGGCAAGGTGTAATTAAAATAAAGAGTGAATGTTAAAACTTTAAAAAATATATTACAGTAAAAGACAAATTGCCTCCGTCTCTCTCAAAACACTTCCCCTCATGTTGAACAGTTATCCTATTTCTTACCACTTCCTGAAGCAGTTCTGGAATTCCTCTTTGGTAAGTGTCTTTATTTGCACTATGGTGATTGCTTTAATGTCCTGAATCAATTTGAAATATTTCCCTTTCATGGTCATTTTGACTCTGGGGAAAAGCCAGAAGTTGCATGGTGCCAAGTCGGTGAGTAAGGTGGATGGGGACATTGTAATGTTTTTATTACACTGTAATGTTTATGACAGAAACTTTCATACACTTCATCAATTTGGTGTGATCATAAAACATGTATCACCATGAGCCACACTGCCATTAATCCCACTCAAAATACTTAGGCTTCAAACACACATGGCAATGTATCTTTTACTGTAATATTTTTAAAAAATGAAAACATTGTATCTTGCAATCATCCTTTGTATATTTAAATATATAATGGTATATTAAATATATATTAATGAATATTGGCTTAAGAAAGGAAATGTTTTCCACTCTGATGTATTAGTAAAAAATTAAATGATTTGCTCAAGGTCATACATCATTTAGTAATAATGTCACAAAACATCTGACTTTCAGTGATCAATTATCTCTACGGCCTTGCATTTTACTTCTAGTACTTTCAATATCAGTTATGTCTTAATTTCTTTTGTTCAACTAATATTGAAAACCAAATTGTACCTATGAAGTTAAGAAATGCTAACAAATGTTTCATAATCAGCAGTAGTGAATTAATACATTGCACAGACGGAAACCCTCTCTCAGAAAACCGTATTGTTTGGGTAAAGCATTGTTGAATGGTTTTTCGGTTGCCCTGGCATTACTTACCAATTATTGATGAAACTGGAATAGGTTTTTTGTTTAAGAGTGACATCTAGTGGCGTTATGCCCAAATTACAATAAAAAGTTAATTACCTAAACTCATAATTAAGATTCTAGAAGCACTGTTTTCTAGAAACATTGCTTTGCTGTAAAAAGCATTGTTCCAAGAGGGAAAAGTAAAAGAACACAGATGAGCTATGCCATATCAGAAAAGGAAAACTAATTAAAAATTGTAGTAAGATCAGGTGTACACAACTATAATCTCAGCACTCTGGGAGAGTAGGACAGGAGGATTGCAAATTTAAGCTCAGCCTGGGCAATTCAGCAAGACCATTAAAACATTTTTTAATTTAAAGGCTGGGGCTGTAGCTCAGTGTGAAGGCCCTGGGTTCAATGTCCAATCCCCAGCAATGCTAATATGTGGGGAGGGGATATGGAGGGAGGGGGGAGAGAGAGAGTGAGGCAGAAGCAGAGACAGACAGAGAGAGAGACATAAAAGTTACCATTTAGTCACTTGTAGGTGCACAGTTCAGCAAGATTAAGTACGTCACACTGCTGTGTAATCTTCATTACTATCCATTTCCAGAGCTCTTTTCGTTTTCCCAAACTGAAAGCCTATATCTATTAACATAATTCCCATTACTTCCTTTCCTCAGCTACTGCCAACCATGATTCTACTTTCTGCCTCTATGAATCGGGCCACTGCTGGTACGTGATATGAAGTAAAGCATGCAGGATTTGTCCTTCTGTGTCTG